AGAGTCCTGTATTTCTAATGGTATCTATAGCCTCTGAATAGGTCTATTCAGAAGCTTTGTCTTGCCATCTTTAAAGTGTACTTTGACTACTGCTGCTCTAGTGATTCCATCTTTTCCTGTGATTGTGTCCAAAACCCTTTCAATACTGTATCTAAATATTCCATTCTCTTTCTTACTTCTGTATCATAGCTTTGATTTACCAGCTCCTTGTACCCTAGATGATCCGGTAGGCTTAATATCCTTCTCCCTGTTAGTAGGTGTGATGGTGTAAGTGGCTCACCATCTTGAAATGTGGTAATATATGTTAGTGGCCTGGAGTTTAACACTGCTTCTACTTCTTTCTATAGTTACAGTCATCAATTCTTCATGAGTTAATTTCGCCTTTCCTATGTAGAGTAAAAGATCAATTACCAGACGTCATCAAATACCGGACACTATATTTTCTTTGTTGCATGGACTCGCCGCGTAGGCGAGTATTAGGTAGTTTGGTTGTCTGTCACCATGAATTTTAATGAGATTTTTAAGAAACTTTTTTAATTAAAAAACTAAGTGCTCTAGGCTTATAGATCTTTCTCCACAGCTACTCCAAGCCTTAATTTATCAGCTAAAAATGTTTAAAGAGCAGCGCTAGAGAGAAGAAGCTCGAAAAGTAAGAGTGAAAAAATAAAAAATACAGCCTTTATGCTGACACTCTTGAGATAGACAAAAGTATTTTCCAGTAGAAAACTACCTTCTAATTCATTAATATGTGTAGAATTTCTTAATTCTTACTTGGTAAAAACTTATGCTCCAAACTGGCCGCCGGTCCGACTTTGGGAAGGGTTGGGGCGAAAATGTGGCAGGCTAGCAGTACTAGACTCTCTCAACTCTTTTAAGTATATCTAGGCAGCAGTATTGTGCCATATTACTTGTCATAAGCCACTCGTAAGAAGAAAAAAACTTAAGCTTCTTCAGTCACATGCTTGCATTTTTTTTGTTTACTGTCTTATGCATGATCACTTAGGCAAATAAAATGTATCAAGATAACTGTATCTGTGCCATCATAATAGGTGTTAGTTTTAAAGCTCTTTTGATTTGAGTCAGTGCAAAAGATGCATGTTGGGATTTATTATGTGATTGATTAATGTATTATTATTCATTATTATTATTATTGTAATTATAGTTCTGCGCATGCTCAGTTGAGAGCTGCTCAGAAGAAGATCTGTAAAGAAGAGATAAATTTGAGTGTAATCATTTTGTGAACGTTAGCAGCCAGAGAACTGCCACTACTTGCGAGCAGGAAGTCTTCTATTAGATACCTGTCCCTAAATTGGTCCAATCAAGCCGGATAGACTGAGACGGTCGGGACTGGCACTTTATAGATCGACCGACTTAACTTCCATTGGATAGCGACGATTTATTTAGACGACGGTCGAACAGAAGAGGGTCCTTTTGGTCGTGAGTCATAGTGGTAGTTCATTTTAGTGGATGTTAGCTTGCTAGCTAAGTGTATTGAAATAAAATAAAATTTTGTTTTCTCTTTTGATTATTAATTTGATTTGACACGTGGTATTAACGCGGGGGTGTGGGTTATTCTATGATTACAAGATGGCCGCCGAACTTACTCACTTAAAGAATGTACGAGCTGGCTACAAAGGCATTTTGACGAAGAAATTAAGAGATTTAGAAGATGCCTTGAAGAATACTCCACCTGACAGGGATGCTCTTGAGCAATTTAAAATGTCTTTGGAAGAGAAACTTGATGTTTTAAGAAATCACAGTGATCAGATAGTGGCTAAGCTGCAAGATGCTACTGAGATAGCCACTGAGATTGAGGGAAATGAAGCTACTGTAGACTCTGTTCGTGCTGCTCTTTGTAAAATTAATCGGGCACTAGGACACACACCTACAGCGAGTGCCTCACCAGCAGCATCAAGTAATAGCAAGGTAAACTTACCGAAGTTGTCCATATCCCCATTTGAAGGTAATCACACAAAATGGTTGTCTTTCTGGGACTTATATGCATCAGCTGTACATGATAATCCTGACTTGTCTGATATCAACAAGTTTACCTACCTACAGTCTCTTTTGAGAAAGGAAGCAAAGGACTCTATTGCTGGACTAGCCTTGACATCTGCTAATTATCAGTCAGCAGTTGAAATTTTGAAGAAGAGGTTTGGAGACAGTGCACAAATCACTGCTAAACATATGGAGGAGCTTATGAGCGTTGAAGCTGTAACCAGCAATCATAATCTGTCTGCCTTACGGCATTTTTATGATACTATTGAAATCCATGTTCGTGGGCTTCAAGCCTTGGGGGTGTCTCCTGAATCGTACGGTTCGCTCTTGACTCCTG